CCCCCCCCCCCCCCACCCCACCCCCCCGGCAGCCAACCGACCGACACACGTGAGTCATTCGGGGACGCACGCTGCTAACCGACCATGTTATTCCCACTACCAGTCGCTACACGGCATCAGTACCGGTTGCTCCTTAAATAAATACATGTTGAAATACTTGCACTCCGAGGAAAAGGTCCCAACACATATAATGGATTAGTACTGCATGTACTGTTTATATAGTTTTTTGTGTAGTCAACGGATAATAAGTAGACTACTAGTACTTTGTGTGCATGTCAATGTGTGTTGCTTACGAGACCGAGTTACGGCGGCTGTGGGAATTCTACGCTTGCTTGGTGGATGTCTTGGGAACCAACGAGAAAACTCAAATCTATTTACAGACGGGCGGACGTGTGATGATGTATGCATCGAACAGTCACACACAGACAGACAGTTCGCCATGGGCGGCCACAAACACCTCGTCTTCTGGTCGAAGATGGTATAAAACAGAGAAGAGCACGGTTGAGAGCGAAACACTGCGGTCACAATAGGAGCGTGCGCCCAACAGAACTCAACCGGCATACACACACTAAACGCGCGCGCGGGCGAGCGTCATTCTCGGTAGTGAGTCTTCCTTGCTCAAGTTGGCCGAGCCAGAGGTGGCACACTATCACGGGGACTGCACTCCCGTCTGTGTGTGTGTGCCACAACCCCGGGCACACATCACACACAGTTTCTTGTCGGACGGGAGGTAAGACCGATAGTTGAAGTGCAATACGCTCGTTGAAGCTTTTTTTTCGTCCCGCTATTCAGCCACGACACATCCGCCGCCGCAGAACACATTTTCGAACGAGTCGAGAATCTGTTGCGTATGCATATTATCATACAAATGTATTTATGCCTCTAATGTTAATGTTTACCATTGTTGTAGCACGTCGCCGTCGAAACACAACCAAGCCGCAATCAGAGCATGGATTGAAATTGTCTGTGTCTTTTGGTGTAAGCAAGGTCCAAGCATTCCAATGGGTGCAGCCAGCATACCTATCACTACGTACCAACAAGCCGACCATTTTTTGCAGTTCATAATGAAACAAAGTGACATTCTACGACATCAGACATGTGGCTAAGGACAAAAAGAAGATTGATACCCGTGTGCTGCATCGCACGGTGCGCCCTCCTCCTCTCCCCCAACCCCGCATCAACAACGCTTGTGACCTTAGTCGGTGACCCAACTTCTCCCATTTTACCATGAGCGAAGGAATGGAATTAGTAATTTCTCCCCCAACGCCTTTCAATCCAACGGTGCTCTGTTTCTGATCTTTACCACCCTTCATCTACCCTATTCCCCCCTGGCGGCGAGCGCGAACTAGATCCACTAGGCGTGAGTCTGGTATATCCTCCGCGCGTACAAAAGAGGAAAAATATAGACACCCATGCAAATGATATGCGGAGACTTCCATTCCCGACCGACTTACGCGGCATGTTACGAACGTGCAGATCATCAGCGTATGACCCGGGCAAAATAAACGCATATATATAGGCGGCTGTGCAACCCAACGCTCGTGGAGTTGCGCAACTGCTATGGCGCACGATATGCCACGAGTACAACGCTTCCAGCACGACTACACCCCACCCGCTGGCCGCGTCTGACGCATTTGTTCTGGGTCATCGGACGTCGAAACGAAACCCAAGAAAACTAAAACACACTTCCAACAACCCTCACTCATCATTAATTTAATGACAACTCGCCAAGGGAATCAAATTCACACATTTCACGTCATCCTGCACGTCGGTGCGCGGAACACAAGACGAAACTGATCTACTAATGGACAGATACAATACAAAATACACACCATAACAATCGTCCCACGGTTAGAGGTCGCAGACAGGCGGACATCAGCACCGAAGGTTACGCTCAGACTGCAACATCACACAATGAGCGGAAGAAGGACGTGCGCGCATGGCTCAAGAACAGACCAACGTTTCGTCAACCAATCTTGACACGAGAAGAGTCTTTGATGTACGCGATGGAGTCCGGTTCTCCCTTGGGGGCGATGAAGCACGTGGCGTACCCGCGGATCTTGAGGAGAGCCGTAAGGCACGACAGGCCCACCACGAACGCCGCGATGATTCGGAACACCGCCCTCTCGCTCCTGCCCGCGAACCGGAAGATCAGACCCCACATCACCGCGCCGAAGTTGCCACCGGCGCCCACGATGCCCGACACCGCGCCCGTCGCGTCTGGGACGATGTACGGCACGATGCCGTACGAGGTGCCCTCCGCCATCTGCACGCCCACGGAGAAGAGGATGAGGATGGGGATGGCCGCATCAAGCGTGTTCATGTAGGTGAAGAGGAAGAGGAAGCAGCCTTCCCACAGGAGAGCGGACCACTGCGCGAAGAAGCGTCCGCGCATGCCGGTAACGCCACCGCCGAACTTGGCGAACAGGAAGTCTGTCGTCGTTGTTGTGGGCGTTTTACAGGGAGNATTGACCTCGCATCCCTACAAAGCCGGGACGGAGCACGCCGGGTTCTCACCGGACCAGGCTCTCACATCACCAAGCGCGAAGCGCCGTGAGGTATTCGGCGAGTCGCATGAAGGGTGCGCTGTATCCTGCTAAGAGTGTTCGGCATCCTGTGCTTACTTCCTTACGGATGACAGCTGCGTATGACTTAAATTATTTTCTGGTGCTTCCAGAGCCAGTTGTAAGCACTGTGTAACTGCCTCGAGGGTGCTTGACCATTTTAACACAACGTAGTGCGATCATCCCCCTTGCGCGGAGTGGGGGCTCTCGACCACGCACAACATGATCTACTCGACCACCATTATGGTTACCGCCAAAAAAACACAGAGGAAAAAAAAACAACGGTAGACTGGTTGCCGAGT